TATATATATATATATATATATATATATATATATATATATATATATATGTATATGTGTGTATATACACACTTTTTTCCCAAGGACTTTGTTAGACAACCTGGCTTCTCTTTTCTAAAGTAACTTTTTAGACAACTGTTTACCCTGCCTTTCCTCCCTCTCTCCTACCCCACTTATCAGAGACAGGGTCCCACTGTAACTCTTGCTCGCCTGGAACTCAAAAAGTAGACCATGCTGGCTTGAATCAGAGATCCACCTGCCTCTTCCTCCAAAGTGCTGGGATTAAAGGTGTACTCAACCATGCCCAGCTCTGTCTCTACTTCTCTTTCTAACTTTTCTTTTTAACATATTGTAGTTCCATTTTCCAAGCATGTTCCAGTGCTGGCATATTGTAAAGCATTCAAAAGTTCTATTTAAAAACTTAGGATAAAATATACATGATCACAGTAATGAGAACTGTAGGTTTCCTGGTGCTTCTGGCTGACACCAACTGTCAAAGAATTTCAGGCATCAAGGATAGGCCGCAGTAAGAGATATTTTAAGAAAGTCCACACCACAGTGACAGTTGCTTGCTATGTTTAAAGGGCAACTCTGTTCACAGGCACTGTCTCCTTAGTTTTGTGTTTTGTATGGTTCAGGGTAAGTGCATTTTAAAGAATTATTACTCTATAGTTTTAAAAATATTACTACAAAGAACATTTTTTTAGGTAGGAATATAGTGATGTAATTTTTATTACAAAGATAAACATTTAATTATTAAAAATAAATGGTCTCTTTTTTCCTCTTTTATGTGAAGTCGTCATCTGTGTCGGTTCTTGAAGGTTCATGTCTCCCATTCCTTTACCCCTACCTCAGCTGGAAAGATATGTAATCTTTCCAGAAATGCCACTAGTATTAACTATTATGGAATGTTTGTTCTTTCCTGGTACTAGAAGATCTTTAGAAGTAGACTTTTGAATTCCCCATACTTCCGAATGTAACACCTACTTGAAACTTGACCCTACTTTAAATTTCCTGGCTCAATGATTTGTACTAAGGAGTACATTTTTCTTAGTTTTCTCTTCTAGCTCATTAGCACATCAGGCCGTTGTTTATTGCTCTCTTAAGCTTGCAGGAAATGGAAGAGCTATCAACTACTAATTTTATATGTAAAAGACATCCATAGTCTATATTGCCATGTTTATGTATATATTGTCCCATGTAATCATATATTTAATGTCATATGGACCATCTTTGTCATACAGTGTGATGTTCAAAAAACATTGCAATGTTATATAAGCTTTTACCTTAGGTTGATAACATAATTACAGAATGCACTTAGATTAGTCTTGGCTTTCTAAAAACTGCTAGTTGTATGCATGTCCAGGGTTTACAGCTCTGTGAAAGTTAGTTACCACATTTCCTGTTTTTCTGATGAACTTGTGAATACATGTCTGATTTGTTTTTAAACATGTATTGCACATAATATCTGAATCAGGATGTTGTATCACTTGGGGTTCTTCCTTTTCTTTTTACATGGAAAATTTTGTATAAGCATTTTCTAAGTAAAGAAATTGCTTTAAAAATGCTTTTGCAGTTGTATACAGTTGGTCCTGTTTTCATTATTATGAGACATTGTTTCGCAGAAAATGTTGCTAAATATATGGAGGTGATTATTGCCATCAAAATGTGTATTACAAACATAAGGTTGAAAACTGCATTTCTGTAAGCTCAAATGGTTTAATAATATATACCAAATATAAAACAAAAAATATTAAAATGTCAGTTAATTCAAAATTTAAAGTAGCAATTACTGTTAAGAACAGAGTATGATAGATGTTGTCCTTTCACTTCTAGATAACATGTAATTTTCATAAAGCTTAATCCATATTTAAAGGCCACTTATTGGTGATAGCATCACAGCAATCTTCCTTTTTCTTTGTTTTGATTATTGCGGTAGGAGAGCACAGGGATTGGCCCCTCTGCTCCCTTTGTAGTAGGCACGTGCTCTGCTTCTAGGCTTCATCCCTGCCCTATTCTGGCTAATCAGTAACGTTTTTTTTAATGTGTCATATTTTCCATAGGTAAAACTTTAAGTTCTAAAAATTACCCTTATTCCTCTCCTTTTCATAATATTGTTTGAAATAGCTTGCTAACTAATTTTGAAAAATTATATTTGTGAATACAAGAATAAAAATACAATTCAGAAAGTAAGTGCTATGTTTAAAATCATGGCTTTTGATATCGATTAAGAACATCAATTCAATACCAAGACAATATTTATAGGTACGTTGATTTTACTTGTTTATTTCTAAAACAACCTATCCTCTAAACAAAAATTATTAAAGGGTTTGCATAAATAACTCCTTTGAGTTCATGAAAGCAGCTTTCTCCCCTAGTTGCAGGCATTTGCTGTATTATACAAATATATCTTTATTGTGTGGGTTTAGGTGTTTTTTGAAATAAACAAGTTCTTTCTTGCACTACAGCAAAATCTTTGTAATGTTCATCTGTATCGCCAGTCAGTATTATTTGGTATTGTCACTCAAGAGCTAACTATATTAACCTTGAAAATGATTTTTTTAAATTAATGCAGTAAATACACCTCTATTTAGGGAAATACTTGTGTCTTATTTGTGGATAATAGTATTTTATGGTTTAATTTTTTATTAGATACCATGCACATTAGTGTACATTTTATAATTGTGTCCTAGTTTTATCAAAGCCCTGTACCGTACATTGAAGCATTTTCTTTATTTGAAAGTCTCATTCTTAAAGATATTTTGTGGTTTTCACTCTTAAAGATATTTGTGTTTTGTGTCTGAATTTCAGTATTTTAGAGGGCTGATACTGCATACCTGTTTCCTGTTTTGCAATCAAGTGGCAAATACTGAAGAAATATTTGTTGAAGTCGTACTGTCTGCTTCTTTAATGAGTGAATGTTGATTGGAGAGATGGCTCTGATATGTAGTTCTGCTGTGCTGCTTACTGTATGACCTGTGAATTGACCTGTCCATGCAGTACAGGACAAGCAGCACCCCTTGAGAAGTGTCAGAAAGAATTAATGTGAGCTGACTGTGCAGCTACTCAGATGTGCTGAGCAACGCTAGTAGTTAGGTGTCTCAAGGAGCATCTCCCAAGTATAATAAAAGACAGAAAGAGAAACTGCAGTTTCTTTACCCTAGCTACCATTTCTTCTCTTAGGAACTTTAAGCATGAAAAGAGAGGGTTCACTCCTAAACCTGTGCTATGCTTTAAACATAAATGGTTTATAAGGTAACTTTCAGTCTTACACCAAAGTGAGTTTTAACCTTGGAGTGTAGTAGAGCTAGGAATTTTAATCTTGGGGGATGGTAGAGAGAATAAAAAGTAGTTCTGAGGTGTTACAGAGCCTTGGTTCCAGACTCCCTTTGGGTACCAAAATCTGATCATCTAAATTGCCTCCTCTTCCATACTTTAAATCATCTCTTGAGAATTTAAATTCCTAATCTAATGCATATGCTGTGTAAATAGTTATTACTTTATTTTGATTATGGAATAGTGTTGAAAAGAAAAAAAAAAGCCTTTACATGCTAGTTCAAATTCAAGGTTTTTCCCCCAAATATTTTATGTATGTGTTCTATAGTTATGGAACCCATGGATATGTATATAGGGCCTTATTTGATGCCTTGAAAATAAAATTTCTATAAACATTCTTCACTTATTCATGTGTTCAAAATGCTACACCTTTAAAAGATGTTTTGTTCAGGCTTATGGGTTTTTCTTTTCTTTGGTTTTTTTTTTCTTTGTTGTTGTTGTTGTTTTGTGGTATATATTGATTGAATCCAGGGCCATATTCATGCTAAGTGTACATACTATTCCCAACACTTAAAGATAACTTTGATTTTCTGAGAAGCCATTTTTTTCTTTGAATGTTGAGAAAAGCAACTGCTATTGCTTTTGGCTGTAGTGTGACATCCTTTTCTGCAGATATTACAGCAAAAGTGAAATGAAAGTTACTGGAATCCCATTTATATAATGTCTTTATCATCAGAGCAAAACAGGTTTTTTTATAAGGTGCCATCTACAGTCCTAACTTGTAACCTCATTTGAACAAGCAAAAGAATATTCTTCTTAGAAAATCTATGAATTAGGTAAAACCTTAAACACAAAGTACTTTGTGAACGAAATTTCATGAGTTGATGCTCCATGAAAATAAAGTTAAATTAAAACCATCTGGTTTTTCTGTTTACCTTTTGATAAAATTAATATACATACATCAGAGATATATTGTGATATGATCAACACATATATGAAAGTGTGTATATATATATATATATATATATATATATATACATACATACATACACATACACATATATCAGAGAGAGTGTGTGTGTGGTGGGGAGAGAGGATGAAATTTAAAATATGTTTAACACAAAAGTTTGCGTCATTGTCTCTGTCTCTAAAATTATTTAATATACGAATATGGAAATATGAGTTCTGTCTGTAACTTTGGTGACCTGTATATGTTTAATTTTGCTCACATTTTTAAAATCACCATGCAGCTGATTGTTTCATTGTTCACAAGTATGCTTGTTGAAAAGGTTTCAACAAAAACTCATGCTAAAAAATGAGTATGCTTATATTTATATAGGCCCCTATTGTGTGAAGAATCATATTCAGCACTATAGGTTTTGTTTGTTTGTTTTCTGAGACAGGGTTTCTTTGTGTAGCTTTGGCTGCCTTGGACTCACTTTTTAGACCATGCTGGCCTCTAACTCACAGCCTCACAGCGATCTGCCTGCCTCTGCCTCCCTGAGTGCTGGGATCAACAGTGTGTTTTAATGGAAAGTAATATAATAGTACGGGCTTTCAATGTAGAAACAGCAACAATTCACTTCAAGGTTTTGAGAAAATAACTTGAAACTGGTTTTTATCGTAGTAACTAAATGTAACATTATTTACAATTAAGCTTAATTCATAATATGTTTCATGGTTTTAATTTCTTTTTAGTACTCATAATTAAGAAAAAAATCAGTAAACCTTATTTTTATGTTTAACATTCTGCTATCTTCTGTGTGTGTGTGTGTGTGTGTGCTAGATGGAAGATGGTGCCACAAAGCATATCATCCAAATGACAGGATTTAAGATGGAAGAAAAGGAAGCGCTAGTCAAATTACTTTTAAAACTAGATTGCACTTTTATTAAGAGTGAGGTGAGTGTATGAACTTGCTAAAATTTTAGTTCAACATAGAGTTAAAAAATAGAATGAAAATACTGGCTTAAGCATCATAAAGTGCCCTTTGATATTATAAGAATACAAATTTTTATTATTAATAAAGTCGTGCTGTGGTAACATTGCTTCATGTGGGTTCTTCTCTCCAGAAATATAAAAACTGTACACATCTTATAGCTGAACGCCTGTGCAAGAGTGAAAAATTTTTAGCAGCTTGTGCAGCAGGTAAGTAGACTCTCTTCCTCCAGCTTGTATAAAAAAACAACAACAACAAAAAAAAAACCCTTTGTGTTAGAGGAAGAAATATCTTAAGTCACTGGAAATATATTGTGCTTATCAAATCAGATATGCATGTGTTATTTCCTGATTTCTTAAAGATTTGTTTGATTTCTGCTTTATTGTAATTAAAATTTTCTAGCACATGAAATATATATTAAATAGAAAGAAATAGTTACATTGTCACAGATAGAGTTTTAGTTTAGATGTTTTGTTTAAGAAAAATGTCTTAACAAAAAGATTGGGAAGAATACCTCAGCGTGGTTCCCTTCTTCCAAGTTGCTAGTCCTCTGTCCGTACTGGGAAGCAAAGTCATCCTACTTTATTATTTTTGAGGTACCCAAGTTGAGATTTGATTTTTCATCTCACCTTTTCTTACCACTGATATACCCATAGGTTTCCTGTGGTGAGTGATTTATGTGTCTTAGTCCATCATTAATGCCACATCAGTTTTTAGATTCATTTACCAGAGAAACATTTGGAGTAATCACTGACCTTTAGAAACAAAAATATTTATTGTTTCTGGTGTTTAAAAACAGATATTGTACTTTTTAAAAAATTCACTAACAGAAGAATACTGTATTAAAAAGTTTAGCACAGGAGGAAATAAACCTAACCCAGAAACATGAATACAGTTAGTAATTATAGTTCAAGCAATGTTACATTACATTTTATAACTTTAGATTTATTTTTCATTTAGTAGCACTTAGAATTATAGCTATGTATCATAGGAGAGATTATATACAATGTTCAGTGATATTGAAAATTTATTTTAAAAATAATTTTGGCAGTCTATCATGAAAATCTCATGTACAAAAGGGAGGCTTTTAGTTGCTATTTGATCTTTATTGTTTATCATTTAGCAGAACATTCTTTTGTGACAGTTCATTTGCTTTCTAGGAAAATGGGTATTAACGAAGGACTACATAATTCATAGTGCCAAAAGTGGCAGATGGCTTGATGAAACAACTTATGAATGGGGATATAAAATTGAGAAAGACTCCCATTATTCACCTCAAATGCAATCTGCACCTAAAAGATGGCGTGAAGAGCTGAAACGTACTGGTGCTCCAGGAGCCTTCCACAGATGGAAAGTTGTTCTCCTTGTTAGGGCTGATAAGCGAAGTGATTCTCTTGTAAGGTAGGATGAGAGTTCATAAATTTGAAGCAGTGAGTAGGTTCTTGTTTATGTGAATACCTTTTAATATTTATGTTCAATTATTAGTAAAAATGAGGTATGATTGTTCTTTTATACAGTTGGGACTTTTTTAAAGATCTATTTATTTTATTCATGAGTGCTTTATCTACATTTATACCTGAATGCCAGAAGAGGGCATCAGAACCCAGTATATATGGTTGTGAGCCACCATGTGTTGCCAGGAATTGAACTCAGGACCTCTGGAAGGACAGACAATGCTCTTAACCACTGAACTATCTCTCCAGTCCTTTGGACATTTATTTTTAGTTAGTAAATTTTTTGAGAACTTCATTCATCAACATTTATTATCACTGCTGTCTCCCCATCATCCATCCCACTCCTCCTGCACCCACTCCCCTAATTAATGATCACTTCTTCATTGTTATATGTACACATGTATACGTATACACACTTGTGTATACAACCCACTTAATTCAGCTTTGCTTATAATGTACATGTGTCCAGAGCTTTCTCTCTCAGATGAGCCATTGTGCACAAATGTGAGTCTCTTAATAAAACAAAATATGTTTGATAGACAGGTTTTGATATTGATCTCCACTGTAGCTACATGTTACTTCTTTTGTCCCACTCAAGCGAAATAAAAGAGAAAGCTTTACATGGGGAATTTTAACTTTGAAGCATTATTAAATGTTTCCTAGTTTATTATTTTATTATCAGAGAGGCTAGTTTGGAGTTTCTATAGTACTGTTTTGGTTAATACTAACTCCATCAAAATTTAATTTCACTTTTAAATATAAGAATTTTTTTATGTGTGAATGTGTGTGCACAGGTGTTCATGCTCATGCATGTATTTCCATAGGAAAGGGCTCACATCTCTCGTTACTCTTCACTTATTCTTTGAGACACTTTCTGTCACTGAACCCAGGGCTTGCTGATGTGGCTAGGCTCACTAGCTGGCTGGACAAGCCAATCCCTTGGAATCCTCTTGTCCCTATTTCCCAGTTCTAGAGTTACAGTGTACACCACTATGCCTGGATTTTGACATGTGTACTGGGGGTCCAAACTTAGCTTCTCATGCTTGTGTAACAAGCACTTTACCCACTGAGCCATCTCCCCATCACTCTAAACAAGGGTTTTTAAAAGATTATCTGGCTGCCTAAACTTTAAAAAAAAAGGTAGAACCTTTATTTTTTGACCAAAATAGTTTGTAAGCAATGAAATGTACCCATCTTAAGTATACATCTTTGTGACTTTGAAGAAACTTGTACAGTAATATTAGCCTACCTATATCAAGATCTTTAACATTTAATGTTCTCTTGTATCCTTCCCTGTGTTTTTAATTCTGGACCACAAATACCAGACAGTTACTGTTTTGTTTGGTTTGGTTTTGTTTTCTTCTTACTACTATGCTTTAAAAATTTTGAGGTTTGTTTGCATGGTATATTTCTTTGATCTGTTATCATTTGCCTTGTATTATAGTTATAAGATTCTCTTATTTTGTTGAATTTTTTTTGAAAAATCACTGTTCTGTGTAGTATTTTTATTTGATGGACATTTGGAAGATTTTTTCCATTAATTAATTTATTTACTTAACATCCTAATAGGAACTTCCCCTCCCTCCTCTCCTCCTAGTCTGTCTCTTTAATTTCCCCTCTCTTCTCCCCATACCCCCCTTCCTTTTTTTTTTTTTTTTTTTTTTCCAGTAAAGGGTAGACCTCCATTTAGGAGGTTTTTGTCTTTGCTAGTTAGGCTGCTTTTAATATTTGATTATAATTATTTATGGAGACATAATTCATTTCTCATTAAAAAAAAATCTAGAAATTAAATTGTTAGCTGAAATGGTAAATGTATACTGAATATTGTAAGAAAATATCAAATTGTTTCCTAAAGTAGTTGGGCCACAATTGTTTGCCCTTATGGAAGCACTGTAGTAGGTACAGTTGATCTGGATTTGTCTTGGTACTGTTGCTAAACTTGCCTGCTGTATGTGCGGTCTGTTTCTAGAACTCATGTTCTAAGTAGTCATGCCCAGTTCTGCCTACCATCATCAACCCGCTCTTTGGTTAGTGTAGCTTTAGAAGTCATCTTGAAATGAGTTAGCTTGAATCTTCAGCTTTAATATTTTCTGAAACTTTTTGTGGTCCTGCATCCTTTGAATTTCTACACGTTTAAATCATCATGTGAATTTCAATTAAAAGCCTTGAGGCTTTTACTGGAATTACATTTTACCCTTGTTGTTGACTTTGAAAACTGAGCTCTTGATATTATTGATTCTTCCTTTTTGTGCACTATGTGTCTCTTCATGGGTCTTTAATGTTCTAGAGGTTATGTTACTTCTTTGTTAGATCAGATCTTGCTGTATAGTCCTGGCTTGTCTTGAACTCATGATTCTCCTGGCTCTTCTTTCCAAATACAGGGAAGTCCCACAGTCCTGAGCCATAACACTCAACATATTTGTTAGTTTCCATTGTATCAAATTTACATTTATATTGCTAAATTTATTGCTTGCTAGTTTTGTATTTGGGGAAGCTATTATAAATGAATCACTAAAAGGCTTTATTTGTATTTATGGGGGTTTGGCTTTTCTGTTTTATTCTGTTAATGATTATTCTGGTTGATCCTTTACTTTAAAAAAAAAATCAGGCTGGTTGTAGTGGCACACTCCTTTAATCCTAGTTTAAGGCTAGCTTGGTCTATAAAGAGAGTTCCAGGACAGCCAGGACTGTTACACAGGAAAACCCTGTCTCAACAAGCCAAAAAAAAAAAAAATTAAAAAGAGTTTCCAAAGTGTTTTGCCTGCCTCTATACATATGTAGTATGGTTACACCGCCCTCAGAAGTTTGAAGAGGCCATTGATTCTCAAAAACTGGAATTAAAGACTTGGAACCAAAACCTAGGTTGTGACAAGAGCAGTAAAGTGCTCTTTATGGACATCTCTAGTTCCTACTGATTAGTTGTTAAATGTTGAACCAAATTTGTATTCTTGAGATAAACTACATCATGCTGTTTTGTCCATTTTCAGTATAGTTCTCATTCTATTTGCACATACTATGTTAAAGCATATTCTGTTTTCATCCTAATAAATGTCTTCACTGCACACATTTAAACTTCATATCATACTTAACCATCTCCCATAATAGTAACTGTGAGGGCACTGAACTGGATCACTATGTGAGTAGAAAGAAAAGTTTATTGAGGAAACACACTAAAGGTGTGCTTCCAAGGATAGAGGACAATCATTTGGCAGGTTTTATATGATAGCAAGATGGACATTTTGGTCTGATAAAGGCAGTTAGGATTAATCTAGAGCTAGATGTACTTGCCCAGGTAGTTGACCATTGGAGTAGATAACAGAGGTAGTGATTTTCCTGACAAAGAGAAGCATTCCTTGGGCAATTGCTGAGGAATGCTGGGTTTAGGCTTCTATTTACCCAATAACAATCTTTCTGTTTACCTAGCCAGAGTCCTGTTGTTTAGGACATTGTTACCAGCACTAGCATTTTAAGGGTGGGCTTTGAGGTATCAAAAGTCACCCCAGGCCAGTATGTATGTATGTATGTATGTATGTATGTATGTATGTATGTATGTATGTATGTATGTATGTATGTATCTCTGCCTGTAACTTAAGGCCCAAATGTGAGATTCCAACTGCTACTCAAGTGCTGTGCCCCACACTCTCTGCCATGATGGTCATGAACTAATGCTCTGAAACTGTAAGCAAATCTTTGTTTGAATTTTTTTTTCCTTGGTTATGATGTTTCATCACAGCAATAGAACAGTAACTAAAAGACACTGACATTCAAAGTGGGTAAGGATCCTGAGGTCTGAATCTCAATCTGGATTGTGATGCTCTTGTCAAGTAAACGTACCTAGGTAGTGTTTGCTGCTCCCTATATTGCTTACTCACTAAAATAGAGAAATCTCCATTCATTCCAAGAGCACAGAGATTCTCTTTGTTGATTATTGTGACATGAATGCAGAGATTCTCCCCTTCTGCCCTTAAAGGACTTTGGTAATTAATTACAATTAACAGTCTGATTCATTCTTTCCTTTCTTCTCTGCTTTTAATGAGAAATCAGTTATCATTCTTTGTTTATTTGTTTATGCTTTATCTGTTTCCTTCAAGACTTTTTTCCAGACCATTGTAGTTTTAATCTGTGTGTGTTTGGGGGATTTTTTGCTTGTTGTGGATTTTTGTCTTTACTAGTAATTATCATTTATATTTTTCCTTATATGGTGTTTCCCTGGAACTTCATTGTATAATATTTGTTATTATTTTTTGTATTTCAATGGATCTTCACTTCAGTGATTTCTCAGTTCTGTCCATTCTACTAAGAAAGTCTTCCCTGATATATTACAACTTATTTGATCCTTTTCACTGGTCTCTAAATTCCCGTCTCTTTTTGGGTGTTTCCACTGTTTTCATTAGATCCTTGAAATTAGAACTTACTAGTAATTTCAGTATATCTATTATAGCTTATAATTTACTATTAATTATTTTATCTCATGTTATTCGTGTAATTTTTCTAGTTTTGTAGTGTATGTCTTATGCTTTTGATTGAATTTTGGTTTTTTAATGTTTTCTTTCCTCTTCCATTGGAAAAAAGTTTTCATGTACTTTATTCTGACCCTGTTCTTCCTATCCCCCAACTCTGCACCTACCATCACCAAACCCTTCCATAAAAACAAGCAAACAAAAACAAAGAAACCAAACACACAGACACAAAACACAAAAGCAATGTGAGACAGGATGCCTATGAAAATATCATTAACTACCTTTTGTGTCGTATTTATCTGTTTAGTTAACAGAATAATACTGCCCTTGTAGAATGTGACTGGAAGAGTGTCTTTCTCTTCACCTTTTTTAAATAATTTAGAAAAATTGATGCCAATTCTCTGAATATTTGGAAAAAAACAAGTGATCCTTCTAGTCTGGGCTTTTATTTGATAGAAGACCTTTTTAATGATTTAATTTCATTTTA